TGTTTCCAGTTCCTAGATCATCCATGTTGCCCTCCTCTGGATCCTTTCTAATTCTTCTCCATCTCTCTCAAATCTTGGTGCCCTGAACGGGACACAGTATTCCAGGTGGGGTCTGACTAGTGAGGAGAGTAGGGGAACTGCTACTTCTCATGATTTGGAAGTAACACTTCTGTTAATGCATCTCAAAATAGCATTTGCCCGTTTTGCGGCCACATCACACTGTTGACTCAGATTCAGCTTGTGATCTGCAGCGATTCTAAGACCTAATTCTCACGTGCAGCATTTGAGTCCGATTCTGTCACCAGCTATGCATCGATTTGGCCCACCCTTAGCTAGTTTGCTAGCCAGGATTTCATGGGGCTCTTTGCCAAAAGCTTTGCTGAAGTCAAGATAGATTCTGTCCACAGCATTCCCACAGTCCATCAGGGAGTCAAGAAATGGGACCAGATCAGTCTGGCAGGGGTTGTTTTGGAGAAATCCATGTTTGCGTCTATAAACCCTGCATTGTTTTCAAGGCGTTTGCAGACTGACTGCTTTTCCCAGGGATGCATGTCAGACCGACTGATCTGCAGTTCCCAAGTTCTTCTTTTTTCCTTTCTTGAAGTCGGGGAACGACATTAGTACTTCTCCAGTCATCTTTCACTTCCCCAAATAGATAAAACTCTCGAGAATTCTTCTGCCAGCTCTTTTATGACCTGAGGATGGAGTTCATCAGGCCCTGGAGTCTTGAGCTCATTCAGTCATAGCTTTTTGTGAAGCCACACGGGCTTCGTTGCTTGTCTTCTACCCTTTTCCATTGTTGGGATTGTGATTGTGCCTTAGAATTTCCTTTAAGAAAAAATCGCACCCCCCTATAATTCTTCTCTCATTCTTGCCATGGAATTTTGCTCATCACTGTTCTGAGTTGGCTTTCTTGAGATCCAAGGTACGTTTGGCGTTTGCTTCCTTTCGCATCAGGAACGCATGTCTGGCACAGCTGCTTTCCCCCAGGGGTCTCTGCGCACTCGGTCAGGGTCAAGCCAAGGAGACCCTTCCGCTAGTTCCTTCCTCCACTTTCTGCCGGAGGGGGTGACCTGCAGCAGATGTGAAGACATTCCAGGCCCTACTGTGTCTTCATCTGAGGAGGAGGAGGAGGAGGAGGAGGAGGAGGAGGAGGAGGAGGAGGAGGAGGGAGCAAGCACCTGAGCATCCTGGTCCCCCCACGTGGAGACCAAGGGGTCCTCTGCTGGCCAGGGTGGATTTTCCATGCGGTCGTTTTACAGCTGCCATCTCCAACGTGGTGCCCTTTCGATGCTGTGGACTACAAGTCCCAGGATTCCAGGGCGCTGGCCACGTTCCCCACCCGTGGCTGCCCGGACCGGCCCAGAGGCCCAGGGCTCCTCTCCCCCAGGCTCCTTGGGCCCTGCCTGCTCACACACGCGGTGCGCCATCCTCCCGTGCTCGGAAGAAGCCCTGCGGAAGCCCTGCTTATCCTGTCCCCGCAGGGAGCCTGTCCTGTCCTGAGGGACTGTCCTCCAGGCCCATGGGACTGCAACTCCCATCATCCGTGGCCAGTGGAGCCATGGCCATCATTCTCACGTTTGTCTCCCACCTTCTGTCAGAGCTGGCCTGGTGTTCTCTCCGAGGGGTGGCCCCATGCCCCTCTGTGGCACCCGGGGATCTGCCCTGCCCGGCCCACTCCCGGCTCTCCAGCCACCGATGCCCAGTAGGTGCCGGGGCTTCTTCAAGCACTGCAGGGGCACGAGGCGCACAGTGCGAGAGCCATGCTGCGGGGCCGTGCAGGAGGACGAGGGGAGGCCTCGCCACGCTTCGGGGGAGCCCTCCCACCTTTCAGGATCCAAGGGGCGACTTCCTTGTGTGCAGGGAGCGAGTGTGCCAGAGAGAGCCGTGTCCCCACCGCTCCTTCGTGGCTCGCAGCGTGGGTGGCGTGTGTTCTGGGGGGGAGCTCTTGCCCCCCCCCGTCGGCAGCAGCGCACCCCCAGTTCTGCGGGATGTGCCCAGTGGGGGGCTGGTAATGCAGCCCTGGTGCTCCAGGAAACGGTGCGGAGAACTGGAAGGCCCGAGCTTGCGGGCCCATTCCCAGCCTCCTTTTTGCCGATGTTGGTGAGCCCTGCAGAAGGGGGGGGGGGACAGAAAAGGTCTGCCTGTGTGGGCAGAGCCATTTTTTTAATGTGTATTTTTAAATAACAGCTCGGACCCACAGCAGAAGGCAGGCCGGGCCACAACAACACGGCACCCGGCTTCTCTGCAGCCTCGCGATCTAGGGCAAGGCTAGATTAGAATTAAGTCCTGCAACCTCCCGACTCTCCTCTAAACCACGGAAAGCACAAATTAATTGGAGCGGTGCACTGAGCGATTCCAGCACCTGGGGGAGGCAGCGGCTCTGCAGGATGTGTCCGGGAAGAAGGTGCGCTGCAGGTTCCCGTTGATGCACGGTTTGCAGGGCTGCTCAGCAGAGCCCCCCAGCGGAGCCAGGAGGCGGGATGGAGCCCTGGCAGGGTCGGCCGGGACCCCGGCGGGACGCGGGGGAGGCTCCTGGCGCCGCTGCGGGCAAAAGGCCAGACTGCGACTCGAGCGGGTTTGGGTGCCCGGGACCGGAGGGCTGCCTTGGAATGCAGCCTCCGGCTTTGGGTGTGATCCACAGATTGTATCTGGCGCTTTCCTTTTAGAACGCAGGCCGTATCTCGGATGGGTGCTGTGCGTGCATGCATGCGTGCCGGCGTGGGCTCCGCACACCCCGCCTTGAGGTGTGGAAAGAGCAGTGCATGCTGGGATTGGGCGATCCACGCACCTGTGCAGCGTGTGGCCCCAACCTGCGGGCACTGGGCAGCATCTCCAGCACAGCTGCGGGCTGGGAGAGATGGTGGTCAAGCCCCGCACATCTGGGACAGGCCTTTGCACTGGAGCAGCAGTGTGGCCTAGTGGTGAGAGTACTGAACTGGGATTCTGGAGCCCTGAATCTAGGCCCCACTCGTGTGATTTTGGGCTGGTCACAGACTCTGAGCCTCACCTGCCTCACAGCTGCTTGGGAGGAGAAAATGGAGTGGGGGGGGGAATTGTACACGGCTTCGGGTCCCTTGCAGGAAGAAAGGGTGGGATGTAAATATAGTAAATCATTCTTGTGCACAGGACTAGATTGTTCTTCTTGGCTGTGTGTACGAGGAAGCGGAAAGGAGATGGCTAGCCATTCATCGAGGGGAAGAGAAATGGTAAAATAGTAGCCCTTGGGCAGCCCTGGCTGTCGATGAGGATCCGAGAAGAGGCTGTTCTGTGGCTGCTGAAGAGGTCTGATGTTTTCGAGGGATGCGAGCCGCATTCTGCCCGCGGCTGGACGTGGGCCTTGGGCAGGATCCCTTCACCACCACTACGGGTCTCTGCGGCACGTCCCAGCCGCCCCCGGCCCCTCCGCACCTGCTCGCGGCTTGCCCACCTTGCCTGGGCTCCAGGGATGCCTTGGCCTCTCCGCCTGCGGCGTGTGCCCTGCGCTGGCCGCCGGGAGCAGCAGCCACAGAGGCGGACGGGGAGCGCGGCAGGGCAGAGCCGGGAAGGCTCACGGGGCAGGCGCGGCCCCGCATGGCAAGCCGGAATGAGGGCAGAGCCGGGAGCTGCAGGAGCCAGATCACCCGGAACGTGCAGCCGCTGCGCCTCCCAGCCAGCTTGCAGGCTGCCCCGGCCCGGCCCGGCCCGGCCCTGCCCTGCGGGACCCCGGGCGCCGGTGCTGCTCCTGCAAGCACTCGCAAGGTGGGCCGGGAGCCCCTCTGCCCAGCCAGCTGCGGGGCTGCATCCCGCTGGGAATCCTGGCGCACGGCAGCATCAGTGGCCTCTCGGACTCGCTCTTGGCCGGGAGGCGCATCAGCTTCCTGCCCAGGTTCCCAGCCTGCCCGAGGGCCAGCCCCGGGCCGGCTAGCCACAGCTACCGCCGGCCAGCAAGGAGGCGCGCGGCATCCAGAAGACAAGCAGGTGATCCTGGCGTCGCCTTTGCAGGCAGCGAAAGCCCCGTCGGGCGCAGGAGGCACTGGCCGTGGGGGAGCCAGGCTGCGGGGGGGACACACGCAGGGCTGGGACGGGGAAGGGCCGCCGGATTAAGGCCTCGGGGGTGCCCTCTGAGAGCGCAGGCTTGCGCAGTCACGGCCAGATTTAACACACGCACTGAGGTTAGGAAAACACTCTTCTATATGCAGAACGCAGGAAATAGAGTGGAACTTTTGAGGCACAATCCCATGCGTGACTCGACAGAAAAAGACCCCCCATTCCCAGCAAAAAGCCCCTTTATCCCTGGGAGCTGCAGCCTTATTTATTTATTTATTTATTTATTTATTTATTTATTTATTTATTTATTTATTTATTTAAAACATTTCTATGCCGCCCCATTCGCCGAAGCCTCGGGGCGGCTCACAACATAAATTAAAATATAATACATTAAAAATATAAAACAAATCAACAATATAAAATAAAACAAGTCACCCTGGCCAGATAAAATAAGCAAATAATATTAACAATTAAAATGACGTTTAAATAAAAAGGTCTTCGCCTGGCGCCGAAAAACAACGACGGCGCCAGGCGGATCTCTCTGGGGAGCACATTCCATAGGTGGGGTGCCACCACAGAGAAGGCCCTCCTCCGGGTACCTACCCTCCTAATTTCTTTCACGGAGGGTTCCCGGAGAAGGGCCTCTCCCGCAGACTTTCCTTTCTCTGGGTAGGTTTGGCCCTTTAAAAATTCAACTCAATTTCCTGTGGCCTGAATAGGGACACAGGGGGACTCTTTGCTTGGAACTGGGGGGCTCTTTTCTGTCCAAACACCCACAGTCTTGTGCCTTTAATGAAATCCGCTTTGGCAATTTCTTTGAAATTCGTTTGTTCAACAGTAGCACCTTTCAGCTGGTTTCCAGAATGTTCTTGGTGTCTGAAACGCTCCTTCGCTTGTTTCTGGACCAGTTACGGCTCCTGGCATTGCACTGGGGTGTATTTATCCCTTTCTGTGTGCTGAAAGGCATCGACCCCGACTGCTCGGAAGGTGAGCAGGTGTCCGGGCCCTGGAGGATGGCTCCATCCCCAAACAGGTGCGGGGGCAGCTCTGCAGCTGCGGAGCATCTTTTCAAGTGGGGGGGCTGTCTCGAAGCAGCCGCTGGCCCACCAGACACGCACCCAAGGGGGCCGACAAACACCAGCACCATCATGGAGGCTCATCGAGGGGGTTTAGGCAGGGGAAGAGGTGGTGGGAAGGGACGTGCTTCTGTGCATGTTAAGAGATCCGGGCTGGGGGCTGAGCCCAGTGGGAACTCTGCTGCCAGGCAGGAATGGGGCATGATGCAGAGCTTCGAGGGATGGTGGGGGCAGGCGTTGGTCGTTCAGAACCCCTGGCCCTGCTGGCCGGGGATGATGGGAGTCGTAGTCCAACACAAACGGAGGGAGCCGGGTTGGGGAGCGCTCCTCCAGCCAGAGAACTTCGACCGCTGGCTGCCCGGCCCGGCTCGGCTCAGCCGCACGTGGCTTAGTCCTCGTCGGCGGCCGCAGGGCCAGTCCAGGATGTGTCGCACGGTCCCTTACCTGTGCCCGCTCGCAGGTGACGTTCGAGGACGTGGCTGTCTACTTTTCGCCGGCGGAGTGGATGGAGCTCGCAGAATGGCAGAAGGACCTGTATCGGGCCGTGATGGTGGAGAATTACGAGGTGGTCGCCTCGCTGGGTAAGCGCCTCCTCTGGCCCGTGGGGCGGAGGCCGGGTTGGTGGAGGCGGAAGCGGCTGCAGCCGAGGGCCCGCGTTGGAAGGGAAGGTGCTCTCCTGTGACTTCCTGATTTGTAGGGGGGGCGGTTGAACCCCAAGAAATTCCAGTGCTGAGCTGGGAGCCCAGGCAGCTCACTGAACCAGCAGTCGAACCCCAGGCAAGCTTCCTGCACCCTGAGGTCATCCAAGTGCATTGGCCTTCCACTCCCAGAATCCCCCAGCCACCAGGCTGGGGGATTCTGGGAGTGGGAGGCCAACACATCTGGATAAACGGCATTTCTGTTCCGTCCTCAGCATATGTATCTTTAAAAATACATCCTTTTTAGTTACCAGTAGCAGTGCAGGGGAAACGGGGACTGCAGAACTGACTGAGAACGGGGGGCTTGTGCTGCCCCCCCACCCCGCGAGACATAAACTCGCAAAGTCGATAGAGGTGGCCAACTTGCACCAAGTGACGGGAGCGTCTGAAGAGGCCGAAGAGAAACCGACGTGAGCCCTGGAAGAGCGTTCGCCTGCACGGCCCACTGGACGCTGGTCCCAGGCACGGGGCCCACTCCCGGCCCTGCCAGGCCCCCGAAGGCATGGGCGGGGGCTGCTGGCCTCCATGTGGGGGGTCGTGTGACGCCGCCTTGCCCCGTTCCTCTCCGGCGTCCTGCACGGCAGTGGCTTTTTTGCAGCCTTCCCTGTGGCCGGCCCCGGGAACGCGGCCTCGGCCGTGAGAGCGATATAGATTTGCCCGGTACAAAAACAGCCGAACTGCAGCATGAAAGACGGATCACAGACGCCGCGCCAGGAGCTGCAACGAGGGGGGTGGGTCTCTGCATTTTCTCGCGGCTTCTGCCTGCCCCCCAAGCGGTTGGGGAGGAGCCGCGGGGGGGGCACGGGGTGAAGACGGCAGGGCGCCCGTCCTCCCTGCGGGGCCGCTGTCGTCCGGCGGGTGCCAGGACTGCTCGGTGCTCTCTCTGCTTCTGCGACAGGCCACCCCCCCACCAAGCCCGAACTCATCTGCAAAATCGAGCGGGACGAGGCGCCGTGGACGGAGGAGAGTCTCGCGCCCCCGAAGCGGGGGCGGCCCCGGAGCCCCTGGCTGGGTGAGTCGGGGGCCTCCCAGGGGCAGGGGAACGCCCTGCCAGCTCTCCGACTGGCTGCGGGAGGACTGGGCCCGGGGCTGCGGCACAGGCCGGGACACGATGCTCGCGCACAGGCGTGTCCGCGGGGGCCGCAGGCGGCAGCCCTGGCCTTCGGCGGGACAGCGGTGCCTGGCACTGAGCGCCGGGTGGGGGGGACCCGTGTTGCTGCCGCTCTTCATCCTTGTGCTGAGCCGCCCGTAGGGTCCGCTTCTGGAAGGGCAGCAGGGAGCCGTGCTCCGCAAGGAAGACTGGGGCGCTGCCACCCCCGAAGGCCGCAGCCCCTGCCCCCAGGGGGTCCTTCTTCTGGCCAGCAGCCAAGCTTCCAAAAGCGCCCCCCCCATTGTCTCCCACAGGCCCTTCGGGGGGACCCTGCAGTAGGGACGCAGAGCCCGCACAGAGTCTCCGGACCTCTGGCCAGCCGCCTCTCGCGGCCCCCACTCCGGGAAGCCGCCCGCTGCTGGCGATGCTGGTCTGCATGGGGCCTTCCCTGTGCAAAGCAGCAGCCCCGCCTAGCGAACTGCCTGGGCCCAGGAGGGGCGCCTGGGGCTGGCTGTGTCTCCAGGGCTCTGGGCGGAGGAGGCTCCCAGCCTGCCCCGGCCGCTCAGTCCCTTCATCTCTCGCCCCCGCCAGGCACCACAGCAAGACCCTCTTCTCTCGTTTCTACCCAGCAGGAGACGGAATTAGGATGGCGGAGGAGGAGGAAGGGGAACGGGCCGGCCTGGGCCGCCGGCGCTGCAGGGCCCGGCGGAAGAGAGGGAGGAGGCCCGCTTCCCCGGGAACGGAGAAGCCGGCCACGCGAGCAGCCGGCGCAGCCCCCAAGACGGAGGACGGCGGCCCCCCCCCGAAGGACGCTGAAGATGAACCCGCCCGAGTGCCCCGAGTGCGGCAAGCGCTTCCTGAGCAACGTGGCCATGACCATCCACATCCGCACCCACACGGGCGAGCGCCCCTTCCGCTGCCACCTCTGCCCCAAGGGCTTCCCCTCCATGGGCGACCTGAAGCGGCACCTCAAGACCCACCTGCGCCCCCGGGAGCCCCCCGAGAGCGGGGCCGCGGCCCCCAAGGCCAAGAAGTGCCTGACGGCCAAGCTGCAGCTGCTGCGCCAGCTGGGGGCCGCCCCGGGCCCCCGGAGGCCCCACACCTGCGCCCAGTGCGGCAAGAGCTTCGGCAAGAAGCAGGACCTGCGCAAGCACCTGGGCACCCACTCCACGGCCCGGCCCTTCCCCTGCGCCGAGTGCGGCCGCCGCTTCCGGCTGAAGCAGATCCTGGTGGCGCACATGAAGGTGCACGTGGGCGAGCGGCCCTTCGCCTGCGCCGAGTGCGGGAAGCGCTTCAGCCAGAAGCACCACGTGGAGAGCCACCAGCGGGTGCACACGGGCGAGAAGCCCTTCGCCTGCTCCACCTGCGGCAAGCGCTACTCGCAGAAGCAGCCGCTCATCAGCCACCTGCGCGTGCACACGGGCGAGCGCCCCTACGGCTGCGGCGCCTGCGGCAAGGCCTTCCGCAACCAGGCCACGCTGACCATCCACACGCGCATGCACACGGGCGAGCGCCCCTACCGCTGCCTGCTCTGCGGCAAGGCCTGCAGCCAGCTGCAGCACCTCAAGAGCCACCAGCGGGTGCACCGCGGCGAGCAGCACCTGATCGCGGCCGGCGGCGGCGAGGCCCTGGCCCTCAAGCGCGCCCGCGAGCTGCAGGAGAAGCCCCACCCCTGCGCCAAGTGCGAGAAGCGCTTCCGGGACCGGCGGATCATGGAGGCCCACCTCAAGACCCACGAGGAGAAGCGGGCGCCCCGGGACGGGGCCCCGCCCGGCCCGGAGCGGCCCCCCGAGGCCCTGCCCGCGCCGAGGCCGGCCGGCCGGGGGCGGGAGGCCAGCAAGGAGCAGCCCTCGGCCGTCCCGCCCGGCGCCGCGGCGGGGAAGAGGTCCGTGGTGTGCACCGACTGCGGCAGGCGGTTCACGCAGGCCAAATACCTGACCCTGCACCGGAGGAGCCACAGATGAGCGGGCGGGTTTCTGCCGGAGCTGGTGCCGGGCGGGCCGTCTGCACGGGGGGAGCCGGGAGGGCGGAATCTCTGCCCGGAGCGGCTCGTGGGTTGTGGGGCGGGATGCGGCCCTTCGGGTTACACAGCCCCCTCCCCAGCTCTGCCAGAGAGAACGAGGGTGGAGAGAAGCCCGTTCCTGGCTGGGGCGTTCGGTTTGCTGCGACCTCCTGCGTTTCCGCCTTCCCTCCTTGGGGCGGGTGGGGAATCTGACCTGAGGGGGATTCTGCGTAACTTGCAAGCTTGCATCCTGCATTGCGATGGCGGCTATTCCAAGCGAAAGCGCTTCCCCACTTCCTCGGCTTTCCACTCTGTGGATCCAGAGTGCCCACAGCGGTCGGAAGGCCTCCTCTTAGCTCCTGCCATTCACATGGCCACTGGCAGAGGAAGTGTTGCTGAAGGGGCTGCCCCAGACCCTGGGGGACGGGGGGTCCGGAGTGGTCAGCGGCACATTCGGTCCTTCACACGCAGCCTGGCAGTAGCAGGAGCCGAACCTGGGTCCATGGAGGGCTTTGTCGCCGGGGCATCGCCGTTCCCCAGGGCGCAGAGAGAGCATCCCATAGAGTGCCGTCCTGAGAGGCGCCCCCGTGGGGCGCACGTGGGACTCAGTCTCCCAGCTTGCAAAGGCCTGAAGGGCGCGTTCCAGCCAGAGGAGAGGCCTGCAACATTCCAGTGCTTCAGCCCCCTCCCGTGGAAGCCCGTCTCGGGTATTACCAGATGCTGAGAAGTGCCAGGCGCTTCCAGGTTGCGCAGCTGTCCTCCTCAGGCTGTTTGCTGAAGGGAACAGGCCGCGGGGGAAACTGAGGGGCCGTTGCCATCATACACGCCGCCCCAAGAGAGCCTTCCATGGTGGGAGGCAATGCAGTCTGCTAAGAGGTGCATTGAAGCCTTGGTCCCTCACCGCACACTAAATGCTGACTTCGTGTTCTCAGATTAAGCCCAGTGAGTTCCCTGCAGAAGTTTGGTTACTGGATTTGTCATTGCTGCTGGAGCAATTACCTGGGAATTCATGTTTAGTTTTGCAGTCTTAAAGGATAATGTTAAAATGTTGATGAAGAGTTCCTCTGGTTGCAAGGAAACCAGTCGCTGAATCCCACTCCCTTTTCCTAGGGGGAACAGGAACTGATTCATAAGGGCTGGTGCAGGGATGCAGTGATACCACGAGTGAACAGGAAGCAACTGATTTAAAGCAGCAGAAGCCAAGAAGCAACAGCTGCTTAAAAGAGAGGGGAAAGGAGGAAGAACAGATCAAAAGGCCCATTTCGAGGAGAAATTCTGAGGTGCAGTCCTTGGGCAGAAAAAAGCCATACAGCGGGTCTGCAAAATAGATGGGAAAAGAACGTGGAAAAGCACTGAAATGTTGTGGACTGAAGGTTACATCACCTGGGTTCTCCCTAATCAATCATATCTGTTTGGGCAGAAAATGGCAGGTATGAAAGAGCAGGGTGAACGTTTTAGTCTTGTCCAGCATAAGCTTTTGAAAAATATATTCCTAAGGTTTCTGTAGTTAAATGAGCAGCTGGTTCATTTTGCCCTAAAAAAGACACTGTAGTTGATTAGCTTTTGATAGGGAAAGTTGATCATTTGCATGCCTGTGCAAGAGGCTTTTCTGGTGTATCTGAGATTATATCAATCCACTTGGAGTTGCCAAGACGACGCACCACTTCACAATTGGACATCTGAGCAAATTTCTACGCCGTTGTCCAAAGAAGAATCCTTGAGGGGAATTTGCATGATCGCTTAATGCACATAATCCAGGTTTACATGTAGGATTGCCTCAACTTTCTGCAGAGAATCTATGGAGGGGGCAGAGGCTTGGGAAAACTGGTCATTTCCTCTGAGGCCGAAGGGGGTGGGTCTCCCAGCCCGGTAAGTGCGCACGCGGCCACAGTCTGCTCCTTGGCTCCGAAGGTGAGAGACGGACGCTGGGCCAGTACTTTTCGTGTGGGGAAGGCCTTTTATGTAACTTCTGTTTACAAGGATGACTTCATTCCCTTTCTCGTACTGTATGTGTCCTTTCGGTAGCGGAAGGAGGGTGAGAATTCCACTTCCAAAGTGCTCTTAAAGGCTGCTGTGCGTTCCAGCCGCCCGCGCTCACTGTAGGAGCCGCTGGCTTCAGTTTGCTAGCCCTTGAAAAAGGCAGGCAAGCAAAAAGCTGCACCTGTGATCTTAAGGATTTTGGTTTAAACGTGCCCCGCAGCTTATTCTGTCTGTGATCCATGATTTTTGAAACGGTCCCTTTTCTCCAAACGGAAGGGAACAGTGTGAGAGTTTCGACAAGAGCTGCCTGGGGCATGCAGGGAGCTGCAGGCCTCCTTTTCTGCGTCCAAGTTTGCCCAGGATTGTGCCCCAAGAGAGCAGCGCTACCCTGGCTGGAGTCATCTGGGGAGAACCACGTGCGATGCTTGTGATGTGAAATGCAAACCTGGTCACTGTTCCAGATCTGTGAGTGCTTAATAAAAGCCGGCGATGACTCAACAAGGGACGCGCCTGCTGATGAACGAAGTTTGGTTTCCAAAGTGCTCTCCTAGTCCTCCCGCCGGAAGTGTTTTCTGGAACCCTGCCAAGCTGGTCATCCATGTTGCCTCTTTCGCTCGCATCGGGCTCCCACTCCACCGCAGCCCGTCCTCGGGAGGGTCCGGCTGGAGCAGGTTGCTCTGTTGTGCCTCCCCGAACCACCCAGGAACCGCTTATTTATTTCAAACATTTTTATGCCGCCCCCATCGCAACGAAGCCTTTGGGGCTCCTTTTGCACCCGGGTCAGACCAGGGAAAAATTCCACAGCAAAGGGCTCACTTCAACTCTGACCTCCGTCCAGAAGGGCGCCTGGTGGTCCAGCGTGACGGGCAACCAATCTCAGCTATGCGAGGGGATGCCGTCCGACGCCGGGGGTTGCCTTCCTCCTCCTGAACCCGCCATAAGGGGGGAGGGGGCGACCCCTGCCAGCCAAAGGGACTGGGGAATCACCCTCTTCGTTGCTGGAATCGCCGACTGTGTGGGCTCCCGAGGGCCCCCCTGTGGCTCCGCACCGTCCCCCGTGCCCGAAAGCTCTCCAGGCCGTTCTGTCTGTGGCTCCCTGGATGGAACCCGCCTACCCCTGCGCTCCCCCCCGCTCCGCTTTCCCCAGCACGAGGACCCTCTCCAGGGCACCCGGCCTTCTCGTGAGGCACCCAAAGTGCAGCTGCCGCCGTGTTGTCAATTTTGTAGGGAAAGCGGTGCGTTTTGGGGGAAACCTTATTCATTTTAGTCCTTTGTTTTATATAAATAAGTGAACGGCCTTCGAATGCAGAAATCTGGCCATGTTCTTCCGGATGCCACACAGCGACCTGTGATCCCTTCCGCCTTGAAGAGCCCAGGCCGCCCGGGTCTCCTGCCCGTGGCTTCCTTCCCCACCTGGCTAGCACGGGAGGGGGCGGCGGGGCTCCCACCTCGCGGCAGGACAGGCAAAAGGCAGGTTGCAAACCCATCATGGCTGGTCTAGGGTGGCCTAGTTCCTGAGGTGACCACGCTGGGCCAAGGGGGCGCCCGTTCCCCCCAAGAAAGGGAGCCCGGCTCTCCTCTGCAGTCACAAGTGCCGAGGAAGCGGGCCCTTTCACAGAAGGACGCCTCTCTGCTGCTGCACAGGAGAAGGCATTCCAGGGCATGTGCAGAGGGGCATTCAGCAATCTCTTTGTGCTGCCTTGTGCACAGAGGGTCCTGCCATGATTGGGGGGGTCTGAGGAGAGGGCTTTGGAGGAGATTCGCTCCCTGACGCCAGCCCGTCCCCGGGAGGGTTCTTGGCTATCAGCCGGTCCCAGCTGGGCAGTCTCGCTGGTGCTGGCAGCAACCGGGCTTTTGGGGCCCATCATACAAAACATCTCGACTGGTAGGTTGGGCAGGGCTGCCCAAGGTGCAGCACATATGGGGTTCCCCACCCCCGAAACTGAATCCTTTGAGGGAGGCCAAGAGCGCCCCCAGCAGGCCACCACCTCAACCAAGTATTCTGGGGGGGGGGTGGCAAGTGGGTCGCAGCAGCAATACACACGCAGCCACGTGGCCCCCTGAAGGCGAACCTCAATTTCTCTGGCAGGCCCTTCACTGGACGCGCCCTGCTCTGCCCCACGCATGAAGTGTCAGCCTCGGGTGGGGCCCCCTGGAAGTCCCTTGCGTGTGGAGGCATGCGGGGCGGGGGGGGGAGGCCAGAAAGGACTCGCCAGGCCACCGTGTTCGGGTGGCCTCCCTCCCCCTCGCAGGGCGCATGGATCTGCCCGTGCACGCGACCGAGCGGCCGTGTCTGCAGACTCATGCCAAAACAAGCACGGCCGTCAAGGTGCTGGAAATCCTCAAGTGCCTTAGAAACGCAACTGCGTCTCTTGCGCAGGGGCACGAAGAGGCTCTTCTCAAAACATTTGCAAGCAGCTGAGCGACCCCGGAGGAAGGGACATGGATTTCCTCAAACGCGCCGGGTGCCATTTGAAGGTTCCTCTTTCTCGCGGTTTTCGGCACTCGCCAGCAGTTGCTTCCCCAAGTTGCTTGTTGCTTCCCCGAGTCCTGAAGGAGCCCAACTCTTCACTGTTTAGTCCTCCGGAGGAGCCCGATGCTGCTCCCTTCTCCTTTATGTTGCTACAGTGACCCCGTAAGGCAGGCTGGCCCAAAGGTGTCCAGTGCGCCGCACGGCCGGACGGGGCTTTGCACCAGGGTCTCTCGGCCCCCCGCCCAACATTCCAATCGCTCAACTGGCTTTTGCACCAGCGGCGGAAAGGTCCCCCTCCTTCCTTGCTTGGAGGCCAAGAGTGGTGCTCGGTGCCCTCTCACAGCCCCCGAGAGCTCCCCCATGGACGACCCTGCCCCCCTGGGTACACTCGCAACCCTGAATTCCCGGAGCATCTTTGCTCTTTGATGCACTCTGGAACTTCCATTCTAAATTTCAAAATTCTTTTTAAACCAGTTAAAGGTGTAAAGATTAAATACCCAAAGACCACCAGAAGTTTCTATGCCCTTCACGAGGCTGCGATTCTGATTGCGTTGCAGATTTTTTTTCTATCTGAAGTTATTTTAAAAATGACACCATTCTGGGTAAGCTTGGGCTCTGTAAGCATTTATTGCTACTCCAGAGGTCTGAATATTTATACCCTTGAAAATTAGATCACAGGCAATTAGATGTGAGTTGACGGGTCCTCTCTGCCTGGGAATGGTGGGAGCTGCAGGCTGACACACCTGGAGAACAGGGGTGTGGGAGTGGGCATGCCATGGGCCGGGAGGGAGGTCCGCCCCTGGTCCAAGAGGCTTGCAGTGCAGAGGGGGTCTGGGCAGCGGGCGAGGACTATGGCCTTGGTATCTCGGGGAGGGCAGTGAGGGCCACTGGTCCCTCCAGATGTTTCGCCCCCAGCTCCTATAGCGACGGAGCCAGTGCTGAGGGATTGTGGGATCTGTCGGCCAAAAGGAACTGGATGGGGTGGAGTGGCCCTTGGCGCACGTGACCCAGCTGCGTGAAGAGCCTCCCAGCACACGGAAGGTGTCGGGTTTTGGGAGGCTGCAATGATCCCCGTGCAGTGAGATAAGTATTTCCCTCACACCCAGGAAAAAATGGGAAAGACTTTTCCTAGACTACGTCCCCAAAGGACTGGATTACCATCCAGACAGTTTTAGAAAAATCGCTGTCAAGTGCCTCTGGGGTGACACAAGATCATAAAAGAACGAAGCGCATCGGAGGATCGGGAAGGCCTTCTTCAAGGGCCCTGGGGGATTCCCCCCCGCCCCGTGGCGGCCAGGCTGGTCCTCCCGGCACCAGTTCCAGGGGGCTGGAGGGGCCACTCCCCTGCGGAGGAGATGGGAAAGTCCACTCCCACCAGCCCATCTGGGCACGTGGAAATCCGAATTCCACCCAACCGTCTTCACAAAGGGCGCCATTCCCCGTCCAGCCTCTGAACGGGCCGTCGCTCAAGTCCTTAGCCCCAGCCCCTGCATGTCGGCCAGGGACAGCCCGTGAACGACGTCCTCCAGCTTATAGAAGGCCTGAAACACGGAGGGAGGCACCGCGTGGCACTCCAAGTAGCGCCTCAGCTGGGCCAGGCTCTCCATGACGTCGGCCTTGGTGGGACGGGCTGGCAGGGGCTGGTCCTCCCGCTTCCGTCGCCCTTCCGCCGCCAGGTCTTGAGCCGGCGGGTCCTCCGGGCCCGCGTCAGCCCCTTCCTGCTCCCCAAAACACTCCAGCCCTTCGTCCACCAGCGCAAACTGCTCAAACTGCTCCTGCGTCTGAAAGCCTAGCGCCCGGATCACGTCCACGGGGGGAGTCGGGAGGCGGGGGCTGGAGCCCAGACCTGCTGCGCGGAAGCCGCTTTGAATGGTCCGGGGACACACTTCGGACCAGGCCTGGACGACCGTGTGGACGGCGTCCAGCAGGGTCGGGTGCCCGGAGAGCTGACCTGGGGGCGCCGCAGGGGCTCGGCCGTCGAGCGCCACGAGGAGGCGGGTGAGCAGCCTCCTCCGGTAGTGGCACCTGAAACTCTGGATGGCCCCGTGCTCAAGAGGATGGACCCGGGACAGGCCCGGCGGCATGAAGACCATCTTGACGTGCGAGAGCTCGGCGTAGGGGTGCGCGCCACACTGGGCCAGGAAAAGCACCACGCTCCGCCGCTTGCATTTCATGTCCTCGTTGAGTTTCTGAAGCCACTCGGCGAAGATGGCCGCCGTCATCCAGGCCCTGCTGTCTGCGCGGTAGGTGGCGGGCAGGAACTCCTGCGCTTCGGCCCCTTGGAAGGGGAGCAGCTTCTGGGCTTTGCCAACAATCAGAGCGTCGCGTTTATCCGAAGCGTCCATATTGGTGCAGAGCAAGACGGTGAGCTGCTCCTGGCCTGCCTCCCTCTTCTCCAGAGCCAGGTCTTCCGGAGTGGCTCTGAACAAGATGGCCGCCTCGCCGCAGGCGTAAATGTCGGGCGGGTCGTACCGGCTCAGGATGCAGGGCAGCAGGGTGTTGTCCCAGCACTCCGCCTCGGCCCGCTCCTCGGGAAGGGGCCTCTTCTGCTTCGCACCAGCGCTGCCCAGCCAGCCGGCTGCCAGCTCTGGCTGCCCAAACGCCTCGCACAGGTGCCCGGCCCGGCCCGGCAGGGGCACCCCGTTGTGGGGGGCGCTGGGCACACAGCTGCGCTCAAACCACTGAAGCAGGGCCGTGCTGCCCGGCACGGCCTTGTCCTCCAGCTTGCGTTTGCGCCCGGGGTTGGCGTTCTTACACCACTCGGCGAGGATGCGCTCCTTGTTCTTGATGATGCGGCAGATCTGGGGCTGGGAGACGCCGAAGCGCTTTGCCAGTTCGCTCTGGGACACCTTGGGCCCCTCCAGCATCTCCAGCACCCGGACCTTCTCCTGCAGGGACAGCTCCTTCCGCTCCTTCCTCTGCACAACCGTCTCACTTGACAGGGGCAAGAACCTCCGCCGGCACCCACTGTGGCTGAAGGAGCTCCCCGTGGCGGCACACGCCCCTGGCCGCGTGGCAAGGGCCACGTGCTCCACAAAGCTCCTGCCGCAGTCGCTGCAGATGTATGAGCACGGCCCGGCGTGGCTCAGCTGGTGCTTTTCCAACTCGCCCTTCTGGCCGAAGTTCTTCCCGCACTCCAGGCACCAGTGTGGCAGCTCCCCCATCCGGGGCCGGCACATCCCAAAGGAGGCATGTCCCACCCGTGGGCCCCCCAGAGGCCCCTCGTCGCCGGCCGGCCCGGAGTCACTCGGCAGGGTGTCTAAGCAGCCGTGCCCCAGCCCAGCGGAGCCCAGTCCATTTTCTCTGCCTTTTCCAGCCAAGGGCTCAGTGGGCGCTTCCTGCCTCGTGGGACAGGCCTGTGGTCCCACCTCCTCCTTGACTTGCTTTGGAAGTCGCTCCTCTCCTGGGGAAAAAGGCGGGGGGGGGGAGAGTGAAGTGAGTGGCCAAGTGAGCCAGAAATGGCTCCTGCGTCGTCTTCTGGGACCTGTAGAAGAACCTGCGATTCAAAATCCATTACTGATTTTCGGTCACCCCCCCCCAGAACCCAGGCTGCAAAGGGGCACCCGCCCCAGACGGAACCCACAAGCCACCTCTGAGATGCTAAGGGGGCAGCCTATGAAAAGGACAGGAAGTTCCACTGCAACAGGGAAGTACGTTCCCCAAGAGGGCTGCGCATGTGCAGGAACCAAATGTGCAGCGCCTGCGGCCGGAGCGCTGCGCCTCTGGTCCACCTGCCGTCCCGTTCCAGCCCAGCAACAGCCCAGACAATGGTGGGGGAGAACAGAGGGAGGACTGGGAGACGCTGCGGCCCCCTTGCTCCAGTGGCCGGGATGGGGAACAGGCTGAGGGAGAAGAGCCGACGGGGACGCAGGAGGTGAGAAGACAGGAATCCAGAGGAGGAGGAGGAGGAGGAGGAGAGGCGTGGGCCACCCCAAGACTCTTAGGATGGGAGATGCAGAGATGCTTATCTCAAGGCCAGGCTCTCCAGGTGGGCAGGTGGTCCCTGGGAATAGCCAAGATGGGGACTTGGAGCAGGGGAGTTTCTCAGACACAGAAGAGGTGGCCTGGCTCGTGCCCCCAGGATGCGTCATCAGCAGAGGCGGGTGGCATGCAGAGGGGGGTGCTTGTTTCCACAGGGGCCCTCCCCAAAGGAATGGGGCATAAGGAGAGTGTCCAGAGGTGAATGCTAAATTGGGTTCGGCAAACTGCTTTCTGCATGCTCAGCGATTCATCCTGGGTGTTTTTGCTTCTGGAAAATGCGTTTGTCAAGAAAGAACATTTTGCAAGAAAGGCCTGTGGCTTTGAATGTGCACAGGAGAAACCAAGCTCCCGACAGTCCTGTCACTGGCGCGGCCCCTGCAAGAGTGCAGAACAAGGCATGCCTCATGTGTCCTATCGACCCCGTCCCGGCTCTTCTGCTAGGTAGCCCCCCAGAGCCAAGGGGTGTGCTCCCAGGGACATTCCCGGGGGCTCCAAGCCTCCCAGGGGAAGACCAGAAGATCTGCGGGACTGGCAGCAGCAAGGCTGCACATTCCGCCCCTGCCGCAGCCTGACATCCCCACACCCAGGGGCACGAGTGGCAGCGAGCGAGCGAGGCAATGGGCGTGCAAAGAGGGCTCCCCCTATTCCTGGTGTGTTTCAGAGAGGTTTAATTTCTGGGTTGCCTTCGCAGGCGACCACGCCAGGGATCAGCCGTGGCTCCAGGCTCCGATCAGATAACCAACCGTGATTTAGCGAAGCGAGACTTGGCAAGTGTGAGAATCGGGGCCCGATCCCCCCTGCAAGGGCTGCAGAACCAGGAACAGCTCTGCAGGCCCCTGCAGGGAGCAGGCGCGTGGCCATCGTGCAGCACAGCCGGAGGGGCCCGAGCGCTCCGGAAAGGGCTTCCCCGTGCCACTCCTCGGTGCGCTGGCCCCCACACCTGCCTTGCCCCAGGTCCCTGCTCCTGCCTGCCTGACTCCTGCCAAGCTCCAGCCGGACCCTGCCCTGCCAGGGACCTCCCTGCAACCTGTTCTTCCTGACCTTGCCCTTCTCCTGTCTCAGTGGTATCGGACCCCTGGCCTTCTGTCCGAACCCTGCTGCCTTGCACGTTTTCTGACTCTGGACTGTTGGGAATGCGCCGTTGTGCCTGAGAACCTCACGCAAGGCCCCCGCCCTGCAGCTGCGCCCAGGCCCGGGCATCATGCCTGTGCTCACCCGCTGCCCACATCCTGGACCTGAAAGCAAGCCGGCAGCAGGCGATGGCTCTTGCTTGTGATTTGTAGCTTGTTCACATTGCAGGGATGGATTTGGACACAGAGACAAGCCCAATTTCGACAAACCACATCACGCTAGAGGCAAACCAGGCTGATGGGGTAGCCAGGGGCCACTGATGCTGCCCGAGACCATCTGGTTCAGACCCAAGGGAGAAGATTCATGTACTCAAGTTTTCCCAAACTTGCATCTTCCAGATGCGTTGGGATACAACGCCTATCATTGGCTACTGGGGATTATGGGGACTGCAATCCAACTCCTGGCCAGTGTCAGCTTAGGGAAGGCTGTTCCTGCGAGTTGGTCGTGGGCAATAGCCAATTCGGAGCACCTTTTCCGCCAGGGACGGTCACTCACGCAGAGGGCAAAACTAGGCGAGCCAGGCAGCCAGCACCCCCCCACCCACACGGGCCTCCCCAGGCAGAGCAGAGTCGGTCAGGCACGAACTGCACGGTCCCCTCCCGCGCCCGCAAGGCCGCGATGAGTCGCTCGGCCGCCGGCAGGGGCAGTCCACTTTTGGGGGGGCCTCAGGGCTCCTGGGGAGCACTTGTCCTGGAGCGGCCCCCGCCCTCCATGCACGCGCGGGCGCGGGCGCGGCCGCCGTGCTCTGCCGGGGGCGAGCGAAAGGCACTCTGCACATGCTCACGGGCTCCCGCCAGTCCTTGCCAGGCCGGGCACGGGCTCCGCGCGCCTCACCTGGGTCTCCCGGGGCGGCGTCGTTCCGGCTCATCCTTCGCTCGGGCGCAGCCGGGGGTCGCCCCCCCCCCGCGGCCTAGCGCGGCCCTCGCCTCGCCGGGCCCCGGGACGAAGGGCGCCCCCGCCTCCGGGACCCCGCGCTCGGCGCCCGACCCGCCCGGCTGCCTGCGGGGCGCGGCGGGCCGGATGCG